CCATATAGCAGGCTGAAAAAAGGACAAAAATTAAATTGACAAATAAATTGTTTACTTCAAATATGGTGCATGCCTCAACCGCTAAGAAAGCCGAAAGCCAACTTCAGTGTAGCCACTACGCCAAAGAGGACGTCACTTCCTTAATTTTGATTACTTTTAGCGCCAAACAGCCGCAGACACCTAACGTCAACAAAGCGAATAAGTAAACAACGTGTGTGTTCATATACCAGCTCCTTAAATTTCTTAGCTCATTATTCATGGCATTTGAACGCATTTCATGCAAATTTCTGGCAGCAGCTGCTGTTGTGCTGTTTCCGGGATTCCGAGAATTCCTACACTTTTATGCCTTCGCTTTCTAAGTGGTTCAGTTCGTGGCGCTTGGTGTGCTTCACTTTGACCTTTTGTCTCACTTATGCGAGTGAATTCTGCGCTAATGGCCAGACCGGACTTCCTATGCAAGTGTCTCCCATCCCCTGCTGTTTATGAAATTCATTGAGTGAGTACGCGTCGTGGCGTGTGATGAATGCGCAGTGATAAATTAATGCTTTAGCCTGAGTAAGCTTTTAAGGTACTCGCAAAAAAATTACAAAACTACTTTAGCTACCCGCTGTTGCTCAGACAATAGAAGTTTAGTTAAAACATATTAAATTTGCATTATTCTCGTTTATTTAAATGTTTGCTTTATTGTGCGTCATAAATCACTGCACTGCAGCAATATTTTGTGCTACATTTCAATTTCAAAACTGGATGAAAATTAGCATATATGTATATACTCCAGCAGAAAATATAAGCAACGCTTGGTGCATACGACCAGATTACAAGCAGATTTCACTTTGGATGTGACAGAATATGGCTATTTGTGGGTAATACAGTTGGGAAACATTTTTTAATCTAGAATAACTATTTTTTCAAAAACAATATTTTAAAGCTAATCAATTTTTAAAGTTCTTGATATTAGATATTTAAGATTCAAAGTAAAAAATTGGAAGTCGTGCGTCTTACTTTGAATTTACTCCTCCCTCTCAAGTTCGCCTCCGGCACCCAGTCAACCTATAATTTAGGATTAACCATCGCTCATTAGACGCCACATTGCGAGAAACAAAGGTTGCCATAAATAAATACTCGCACTGCATTTACCATATCACCCGTAGGCCATTCATCAAGTTTCCGCCAATATGAGCAGCAAATGCACACACGGTCGATTGGCGCATACTAATCTGTTCCAATCCCACTGTGTTACTAAAGCGACCTGCCCTCTGATGTCATTAATCAAATTTCACTTATGAGTGCTTGAGCACAATCACACGTTGCACATATTTATGGCAAAATAATATTTTGAAAACTGTGCTGTTCATCCAAAACAAATCAGCATCCAACCACTGCGCAGACATGGCAATAACAAAAGTCTATATATGCATATTTTTGTAAGCAAATAAGCCGGAATGTAATCATGTAGATGTACACACATATGTACTTATACTTTTGTGACATTTAAGTTTAGTTATGGGCGTCAGCGAGGAACAAAAAAAAATTAGCTCCGAAAGTCAATATAGAATTGAACAAAACACACACACGAGCCCCAAGCTATCTTCCTTTTTGTTTGCTTGTATGAGTGCGCCTACTTTCGGCTGCCGGTTATTGTGAATACAGGAGAAAGGCAGGAAAGCCATGATTTCGTGTGCGCAGTATTGAAAAATTCCTATTGCAGTGTATGTGTGTAATTGTATGAAGTGCAAGAAGACATATATGAGTGTATGAGGAACTGTGCTGTCGCATATATGTCTATGGCGCCAGCGGTTCGCTATGTGGCGACCGCAAACAGTGCTCTAATTATCGTTTCCGGATATATTGTAGTTGAGTTGGTTTGCATGCGTGAGTTAACAGCGTACTCTCCAGCCTCAGAAAATTAGCTGCGAAGTTTGGGAGGCAACAAAATGCAAATAATACTTCGCTTTACACAAGTTTTGTGCTTCACCGCTTCGCTCTTTCCATATTTTTAGGGGGCGGACAATTTACCCAAAGTTGGTTAAATCGGCTGATTTCAGCTGTCTAACCGGTGCGGAAATTTTTTGGCTCTCCTTGCTGAGCCAAATATATACAAGTGGCTCACAAATGACGCAGCGCCAACTTCGAATGAGAATGCTCAAATTTTATTGTAACTTATGTGTAGGTTACTGTAAAATCACATTTCCACTCAGCTCAAGGCATCATCGACGACATCAACAGTTATTGGCTATCAGTCAGCTTGATAATTGGGTAAGAGCAACGAGGAGAGGGACAAAAAACAACGAAACTGGTTGGAATACGTATGGACTACCTCGGGGGAATAACCTTACATTTTAAACATAACATTACACTCTTACAACCGCCGTTATGTCACTTTCAGCAGATGAGCAAACGCTGATGTAAATTTTCGACTTTGAGCTTACAGCCAACATCAAAATCATCCAACAGTTAAGACAGCTGGCTGTCCAACCATTCGCAGCTTTTACAAAAAAGTTATAACTTGCAAAACAAAATTTCCATTGTTTGGTTATCAATGAAAATTTGAAACGTCTCTATCATCGCTTCAATGACGCGAAATAAAACAAATGGTTTTGCCCAATTATCCGAGAAGTGGCAACTTCCGTATGAAAGCATTTTCTCAGGCACTTAATAACATTCGCATAAAAGGAGACGTGGTCATCATTATTGTCTAAATTTTTTATTTGTTTTCCTTGGCACGGGAAAAAATTCAATTTGCTATCATTGAAAGTGACACTTAAAGCCACCAAGTCTGCATTAAATTGATCATTTTTATTGTCATTCGAATAAACAGTGTTAGTTATCACAAATGGAGTGAAATTGAATTTGAGTGCCAAATGTCAGCAATTCAGCATAAGTCTTTGAGGCAGCAGCCAACGGCTAACTGGCAGTAAGAGACAGTGAAGTTTACATTGCCGACGAGTGGGTGCGAAGTAGCTTCTTATTACAATTGCCGAAGATAGCTTTAAAATGCAAATGAGTTCAACTTTAAGGTGAGGCGAGCTTAATTGCGGCCAGGTAAGGCGGGAGGCTCAAGTTGAGGCTGTCAAAAGCGAAATATAAATTAAGATGGTAAATAAAAATTCACTGTTAGGCAATTTCAGCGCCTTCATTAGACGGTGAATAGATTTACTGAAATTTTTTATTGGTGTTGTTTGCAGCTCAGTTCGTGAATTAAATATTTAAGAAAACTTTATTCGTTTGCATTACTAACTCTCCGCAGTTCCAATCTTTATCAATTTAATCCAAGACAGCGATACAATATCCGCAGAAATTGTTGAGGTCACGTCAATATAGCAAAGAGCTGTCTTATTAACTGGCTAATCGAAAGTTAGGGAGCTAAAAAATCTATTAGTGAATTTGTGAAGGGTATATTAGCTTTTTGTTTATTACTTCTGGTGTTTTATCACAATCTAAATATACGAGTATACATATTTAAATTTTTCGTTTTTAAATTCACACTCTCTACTTGAACACAAAGCGATACTACTCAAAGCTATCCAATTAAAATATTTTCCAAGGCACAATGTTAATTTAAAATTACTCTGTGCTTTCTAAGTCCAACAAAATCACCTTACACCAACGACATCCTTCAATTCTCAATCATTAGCAAGCTAATTAAAATCTACAAACTTTTATAAAGCTCAACAAATGCTTTGTCCACAATGTACTTAGCACGAAATACAACTACAAATGCTGAAAAAGATTGTGAGGCACTTAAAAATTTCCATGCAGCAATTTAAATTTGACGAATATTTATTAGAAATGTGTGAATAGGCGTTTACGCTTGTAGATAGCTGAGAGGCTGCTACTTGATAAATAGGAGTATGCGCTTTTACGGCGCCATTAAATTCCATATATTTAAAATTGGTGTCTTTGGTTTCTTAATACTTAAGCCGCTAATACTGAAGACATATTAGTAAGTTGAGGACTGAATACAAACAAAATTCAGGTTTGTGGATATTTTATGTATTTTCATGTATCTATGTAGTATATGTGGATAAACTAGTGGATCCGTCTTCAAGTTATATAATAAACTACTCAATACAATTAAAAATGTATTTACAAATAAAGGCGAAAACGCTTTTGACGGTATAAAAATCCAAGGGATTGTACTTGAGGTTTAATTTTGAAGATGTTAATGCAAATAAATTTCTTTGGAAACAATAACGAATTTAAGGCTGCTTTCTCAATGTCTACCTTCCTTTCTGACCAATTAATAGAGTTGTCCGCTTAATAGAGCGTCAATTTAGAAGAGCTTTCACTACTTTCTTTTTACTATCCTATCTCTTAATTTGGTTCGAACTGAACACAGTGTGCTAAATTTTACTAAAATCGGTTCAGTATTTTAGGAGTCCATCGCGGACAAACAATTTTTACATATAAAAATAAAGATGCTTAGAGACAAAGAGATATACGTGAGGGCAGAAAGTTCTAAAGTATTTTATTCCTTTTGGCTTTGAAATCTAATCCGATGAAAAAATTGTAAAACTAATTCTCTCTTAATTTACAGCATTTTAACTGCTCGTTCATCGGAATTCACATATTTTCTACATTTTCATTTGCATGGTCTAACTGTTACTGACAGCTGTCTGCCTGCTGTCTGCCAATCATTTTTTTTTACATTCACAGCAAAAATATAAATACTCAATGAAAATGCAATATCATGAAATTAAACTAAAAAGAACTCTCAGAATTAAATTGCAGCACCAAATAAAAAAGGCGATTTGTAGTAATTTCTTTAATGTCTTTTGCTAAAAATCACCCACAATGATTGTCAATCTCCTGTAATCGCGTTGTAAGCCTGTAAATTTTACGCTAAAACTTGTTTACTTGTAAGTTGATTTGAAAGTTGAGTTGAGTTGAGTTTAAGCGAATTGTAACTACATTTTATTTGTTTCGGGAGTGTGTGTGTGCATATCTTTAAAGCTTTCTGCTTTCCAAATTTTTATATCATTTAAAACTTAAAAGCTTACCAAAGCTGTATCTTTTGGTCGCTAAAGGTCAAGAGATCAGCCCAGAGTTTTTTTAATTTTTGTGATTTTAAACACTTTATAACAATTTGGATATCATGCCACTTTTTCAGACTGATATATATACATATGTTCGTAATATTTCCAATTTTTACACCTTTTACACCAGTATGAAATCTGATTTTGATTTAAATATTTTTTGCAATTAGCCCAATGATTAACGCACACAGCAAAATTAATATTTCTATTTTTTATTTATTTTATTTTTTTTAGTACTTCGTTCGTTTTCTTAATTCACTTTTACGAATTCGAGAACCGCCGCAAGATAATTATGACTCGTCACCGTTATTTTCCCTCTACCAAAAACACCTTGGTTTTTTCAGTTTGAGGATTCGAAAACACGTCTGACTGCTGTGAAAGCGCACGAAGGACTAAAATTTGTGGCATCAAGCAGCCGCCGCAGCCTGTATTTGTCTGTTTTCTTTCGCAAGAGCAACGCTACCAAACTTTTGCCTGATTGGAGGGGAGCGATGGTGGGAGAAAGCGCACACAACCACACATCAGCAGCAACAATCTCGCATATAAACAAACCATAAAGCATAGCCAATGCTCAGCGACAGTCGATAAACTGTGGATCGGAAGCCACGCGGTTTATGGAACTCAAATTAAAGCGACACGCACGTGGTGGGCCGTATCATTTGAAATCATTCAAATATGGGTGCCTAGCTGCTATGATCCCGCTTTACATTCATGCCTTTGGAGGTAAATAAACAAAATTTGCCACGGCTGAAATAGTATTCCTATTTGATAGCTTTTTCTTTAATAATCGAATCTAAAAAAAACACAAAATTCAATCAGCTCATTCTTAAAAACTGCCCAGCAACGAGAGAGAAACAACCAAAGAGAGATTGTAATGTAAGACATGACTTAACGGTTTAGCAACCAGCATGCCGCGCATTTTCGGCAATTATATCCATTCTTTTGTATTGCTAAGGCACCGTTACTTATTTTCTACTTGCTTGTCGTCACTGGCACGCATGAATTCACGTATGTGGGCGTGTGTGCTTTTATTCTGCATGCAAATGAGGTTGCCGCGTGTGACGTGGCTTCGTTAGAAAATACTCAGGTCGAGCAAATTTTGTTCTCCAACTTTTTTAAATTAAATTATTGTTATTTGTTATTTTGATTATAATTTGTGGCTCATTGGCATTCGTTTGCTGCTCGCTGCTGAAATATGTTCCCTCATTGGCGACATTTTAATTAAATATGACAGGCAACATAACAACTTTCATCTATGTCGGATAGCAAAATAAAACACAGCCGAAGTCAATATTCTCGAAGGGACTGCCACGAAAGCGTGCGAAAAATTGTTGCTAGTACTCTTAAATTTTTACCATCTAATCAAGTTTGACCCGGACTGATCAAAAGTGCAAACTGGATCAATTTACTCAAACGAAACATTTATTTTTTGTAACACTTTTCCTAATTCTCAAACATATAAACTGACAACCTCAAATAATTTTTTTTTTTTGAGTTCCTGCAGTGCCACGGTCATCAAGCAATAAAAGAACTAACCGGTCACTATTTCAAAAAAGGATCCAAGCGAATTCATTATAAGCGTGACCCACATTTATACATATATATGCAGACATATACTTGTAATATTTATATATATTTCTAAGCTCACATTGTATTTTACTCCAACACTTGTCACCTTTTGCCAATGGATTTACGTGCTGTACGAACCAAGCACAGCCTTGGAGTAACACTTGACTTTCCGTCCCGGCTGGTATTAACACCCTCCCTCCTGAAAATATGCCTTGCTGCTTAGCCAGAAAGCTCTTTCAATGATGACAGGCTTTAGCGGTTTTGCTCGCCAAAGTCTCTGCATAGGCTCTGGAGCTCCAGCATTTTTGTTTTATAGTCACTCCACCTGTTTTGCAGAGTAAAATACTTTACTTTAGTTAACGGTTTATAACGCCGTAAACTAATCGAGAGATGATCAGCACAACGGAACCGATTTCCAAATATTCAACCGCGACCCGATCGTCCGTTTGCATTTAAATCTAACACTGTTAACTATCAACCATTGAAAGTAATTTCATGCCTCTTATTCGCAAATCGTGAGATTATATAAAATTCGATTGCAACCGAACTCCGTCTTCCTTTACTTATTGTATTTGTTAGCTTTTTTCTATCGTTTCATTTTGACGCAAAGACGATATTTTATGAATAATGGATTTCTTTAGACTCGTGTATGTTGGCATGCCTTCCGCTTATTTATATTATATGTATATTCATATTTATATACGCATTCTTATATTGTATATATAGTACAAGGTGAATTCCAAAGTAAACAGGATTTAAAAAAAAACAGAACAAATGGTTTATTCGACAAAATCAATTTATTTTATTCAAAATAGTCTCCGTTTGCTTCAATACAGCTTTTTGCACGGTCCAAAAGCAAGTCGAACGGGTGATTTAGCTTTTTGGCCGATATATAGATGGCACCACCAAGGGGCGCTAGATTCCTGTTTTCTTTGGAACATACCTCGTAGTAAGCAAGCGTCTAATATGGGAGGGTAAGCGAGGGTAATTGGAGTCACATATGTATGTGGCACTGATTTTTTTTTTTTTTTGCGTTGTGCTCTGCTGCTGCAGGGATTACAAGCAAACATTGTTTGACGGATAATGATTTACGACGAAGCAGCGTTTAATCGCCGATAAACAAAGCGGAAACTGGTTTGCGATGGTTATAAAGGAAACAGGTGGCAGAAGCTTAGTTTTAGTACTTCTTATTTCTTCTTCTTCTTCTTTTCATGTTGAGTTTTTTTTTTTGTGTTTACGTACGTGTCGTTTAACCAACACATTCGAAAAATTTCTCTACCAAAAAGTTACAAAAACTTCAAATAGAGTGTGATGCCTTGAAATTGAGGAGTTAATTTCCATAAAGAGCATATGAGCAGATTTGTATTCAGCGGAAATTTCTCATGCTGGTGCCCGTTGTTAACACGTGAGGAATTTAAACACACTTGGCACTTTTAAATCCTCTATAGCCTCCTCTATGGCTTAGCCCTTTGACCAACGAACACAGAGGATGTGACTGCTAAAAGCTAAACAGCTCATAAATTCAAGGAAACCACTGCAAGAGACTCACATGATTTGCATAGTACACAAAGCAAACAATGCTTGTTTGAATCCAAAGCGCAGCAAAGGATAAGGTTACGCGTTTTCCACCGACCTAAGCCTAGGTCAGCTGGCTGGGTAGCAGAACGTTGTTTTCACAATGCCTGTTCTGTGTTGGTTTCCGCCTCTTCGTTGATTGCCAGCATCGCTAACTTTCCCTTCACCTAGAATTGTTATCCGGCTAAAAGTGTTGCATGGGTCTTCAGTAAACCGTTATATCATAGATCTAAACGTTTGCGCGTTTCAATTGAACAGAGAAACATTGTTAAGGTGGTCTTTGTATTGTTTCTGCTTTTTGCAACGGCGGCGAACTTCCTTGTGATAACCCCTTCAACTCAAGTTCAAGCTAAGTCCGCGCTACCGCTTACTTTACCATAAAACGAATTTTAAACAAGGGAACAGGCGGAGAAGTCGGAGTATACGCAAATTATGACTTCCTGCTACGTCCACGCAGCAAGCCAAATGAGGTGAATTGCAGTGACATTTATCCAACGGACCAACTTTTAATTACGTCCTCCATACCGCAAGCCTTGTAACATCAAATAATTACGCTTTGTAATGGGCAGGCGCAAAACTGTTGGATGGGCAAATTCGCGAAAACTTTCAAAACTTATTATATTAATAACGGCGATTACGTAATTATTTAATTAAGTGATTTGCTATAATTTCAACAATAGACAGCCCCCGGATTACAAGCATACACAAGTTATGAATATAAAACGCATACTTTCCATACAAAATATAATCAGATTAAACGCGAGCATTAAGTTGACAAGTTTCAATTTGAACATCACGGGAAATTTCTTTACCATCACTGTACGACCGTGTACCAGCTGCTACTAAATGAACTTCAGATTTCTTTCGCGTACTTTTCCCCTGCGCGATTATTACTTCTATGTGCCGAAATTGTGTCTCGGTGCGCTGGGCTTTTGGCCGCTGGACACAAGTGCGCCAGATGCATCCAATGTGTGGGCTTGGGTGAATCTCATAATTTTGACCATTGGCGTCTTTACCGAGATCCATGCGGGCTGCGCGGTGCTGAAGACCGACCTGGAGCTCGCTTTGGACACACTCTGTCCGGCCGGTACTTCGGCAGTGACATTACTCAAAATGGTTTTGATCTATTATTACCGCAAGGATTTGGCATGGGTGCTAAAGCGGATGCGTGACTTGGTCTATGAACGCGACGGTGAGCTCTTAGCGCTGTGTCAAGTATTTTGCATGTGTGATTTTCAGCTTGGCATTTGAATTTTTCTTTTTTACGCGCTCATCTTTGCTCTCAAATTCTGTAGTGTCAATAAATACCGTTAAGAAGCATATTGTACGCGCGCATGCCGTTATGGCAGCACGTCTCAATTTCATACCGTTTGTTATGGGCTTCATTACGTGCACCTCGTACAATCTCAAGCCGTTGCTAATGACTCTGATACTCTATATGCAAGGACAAGAGCCTATGTGGAAGCTGCCATTCAATATGACGTGAGTGTGAGGGAGTCAGTGAGTGTCTGCGCGTTTGTCACATGGCATACGAAGCCTGCGGGAAGCGTTTAGCCATGCGTGTATGTGCGCGGCTGCAACAAGCAGCTACTAACTTGAGTATCTGCGTTTTTTCATTACAGCATGCCGTCATTTCTACTGCACGCGCCCTACTTTCCGCTTACCTACATATTCACCGCTTACACGGGCTACATTACGATCTTCATGTACGGCGGCTGCGATGCATTTTACTTCGAATTCTGTTCGAATACAGCGGCCCTACTCGAACTGTTGCAGAACGATTTGAAGTCTATCATCAACTTTGGTGAGTAATTGCAACGAAGTAATTTTGGAAACATGTAGAGACTTGAAGTAAATAAAAATGGGCAAAGCTCTTGAAGAAAGTAAAAACTGTGATGTCAGCAGCAGTGGCAATATCTCACTTTTTCAGACCAACTCAGCTTAACAACAGAGGAGTCCACCGTGCTGGAGTGGCGTTTGGTGCAATTCATAAAGCGCCACAATGATATTATCGAGTTGACGCGCTTCTTCTGCAAACGTTACACTGTCATCACATTGGCGCACTTCGTCTCTGCTGGCCTGGTGATTGGAGCAAGCATATTTGACCTTATGACGGTATGTCAGGGCATTTAAGTCTGCTATAGCACACGTTGACCAACTCAGGTCAACTGTTACGCAGACTAAGCGCTTAATAGCGCGTTGAGAAAAGCAACAGACACACTCTTACACATTTGGTTGCTCTGCTCTTCGCTCCACTAAGTGCAAGGGTTAAGCCTTTTTACTTATTTTCCAGTTTACCGGCTTCGGCATTGTCATCTACATTGGCTATACCATCGCCGTTTTGGGTCAGCTTTTCATTTACTGCTATGGCGGCAGCATGGTGGCGGAGAGCGTAAATATTCTAGCAATAATAATATAACTACTCACACATCTTCAATTTGTCAACGTATTTTTTAATATTTTTTTTATTATAAATATAAAAAAATAAGTTGAAGTTTTATTAGAAATACGAAAAGACTATTTCGAGTACCCAATATAATATATTTTTTGTTTATTTATTTTTTTTGTTTTCATATAACTTCCCTTTGTAGAGCGTTCAATTGGCCACCGTGGCGTTCGGCTGTGATTGGCATGCCTGCAATCCCCGACTGCGTCGCTATGTGCTGATGATAATTATACGCTCGCAGCGTGCCATCAGCATGTCTGTGCCATTCTTTGCGCCCTCGCTAATCACATTCACATCGGTAAATTGTGCACTATGAAAGTTAAGAGCTCACAGCAATTTTTTGTCATTGGATTTTGTCTACTCCACAGATACTACAGACATCCGGTTCGATTATTGCTTTGGCCTCCTCTTTCAAATGAATGATAAAACAAAAGCTGTGGAAAATAATGAGCTTAATCGCTTGTCAATAACTTTCAGCGATAACGGCATCGCATTAAATTTAATTATTGCACTGCAGTAGCTCAACTGGACTAAATGTTACTTATACGCCACGCTGCTTTTTCAGCTCTTTTTTTTATTAGTAATTGCAATCAACCTGTGATATTTAGCAGACACAGATTAAATATTATTTGGATTTGATTGTTGTTACTAACCGTTAGTCAGTGGTATATTGAAAGCAAAAACACTTTGCTCTTAAAAAATTAAAAACAAATAAAATGGCTGTAAGTAGTATGTTAAATAAATGTTGTAGCACATAATTAAAGTTCATTCGAGTAAATATGAATTTATTGTGATTTTATTATTGCGATTTTTTCATTTAACTCATGCGATTGAATGACAATAAAAAAATTATTATACAAAGCCATGCAGATCTCTTTAAGCGCCGTTTTTCACACACTTTTTGCATGCCAGTAACGGCTTTGAATGAGTTAATCACTGCAGTTTATTATTGGAAATTACTTTCAATTACAATTTTTATAAAAATTTTTAGCAACCTTGGCCGTTCTAGACAAGAGTTGCCTAACTTTCCTTTCTTGACACACCTAAACAGGTGTTGCAGCAGATACGTCAAGCTGTCGGGCGAATGGATGGGTTAATTAATAAGCAGCTTCCTAAAGAGTTAAACAGCAAAGCAGTAAAGATGTAACTTCAAAGGTGTTAGTGAGCTGCATTTAAAATTGCTTCAAAACTAAACGTTGCTCGCAAGTACTTGATTATGAACTAAATGTCTCTCTCCTAACGAGCAAGTTAATGCAAAAGCATTCATTTTTGGGGAAAACAAATTTAAATATTTGATATATGAGGACTCCAATTTACTTGCAAGTTTGTATGTTGTGCAATTTAGTGTTTGCAGAACAGTTTGTTTACGCATCCGCCTCGGGATTACAGCCTACAGTGGCAAGGTATATATGTGGCACTTAATATGTTTAAATTGTAGGCGAAATTATATTTTCATGGGATCGCTCTTAATTCCGAGAATATTTTTAATAAACAGACTGGCTTATCTATAAGCATTAATGTAATTACAGACTGAAATGTCAAGTTAAATAAATCAACTACAACAATTATGCGAGCTTTCGCAATAAGTTTACAACAACAAATATATTAAACTTCCATGCAAACTTTTGCTTGACTGGGTTTTCGTGCACTTCGTGTTGAAATTCATGTCGCTGGTGAGGTGCGTACATACATGCGTTTTTGTGTGTGGGTGTGTTTTGGTGTAAATAAGCGTAGGCGCGTATGGGTTGATAACGTTCATTTGTGGCGCGTGCGGGAGCAATTTGAATGAACGGATTCTCAGGTGGCGGCGCATAGTTAATGCAAGAGTAATTGCCTTAATGTAAAAGAAGCTGAGTATGAAGCGAATAGAAATTGAATTTAAAGTGGTAGCGGAAATTTCTATTTCAAAATACACATTTGACAGTAAAATTATTTGTTGTGACAGTAAATATGTGTACATCTCAAAATTTAAACCTTTTTATGTTCACAGTGGCCGCACGTTTGAGCTTCTGTGAGCCGCTACTTGGTTGTTACTATTCATTATTTATTTTTTTCTTTTTTTTCATTATTATTATTATTATTTTTTTTTTTAAGCTTTCGACAGTAAATTACATTTCAACTGATTATAATCTAGATGGAATATGTTGGCATTTTACGAGGCATATTTATAAGTTCATTGGTACGTCATGTATTTCCCACGTACGCCTTAAAGTGAGTGCTTCATAATTTAAAAAACAAAAGCAGTACCAAAACAGCACAAGATTTGCTCTGTGCGGAAAAGGCCACCACTACTAAATCAGATGCAAGATTAAACAGCAAGTTGCACAAGCTCGCCGCCTTGATGTCTCTTAAATCGCTGGCGTTTGTTGTGTGTATGTAGCAACTTTTATATTTATTTTTATTTCTGTTTCACCTTCTTATGTTTCGTTGCAATGTATAGAAACGACTTGTTTCTCCTGTCATTAAAGTGTCATTAAAATGTAAATGGGGAAAGTTAATATATATTCTGTATATCTTCAGCAAAAATAATCGAAAGTTAAATGAAACACTAACAATATCCTTAACAGCATCCTTAAGCTTCGCAAGAAATAACGCCGGTCCTTCAAATATAAAACCTTCAAAGTGTAGAATCTTCTCCTAAAGATATGTAGATACGATAGCTTCCCATTACTTCCGCATTGTGCCACGCCTTCAAAGTAGAATCCATAAATCCATTTTATTTAAAAAATCATGTATATGTATAAGTCCAACAGCATTTCCAAAATCAATAAAAAGTTCCGCCATATGCATGGTTTTTATTTAACAATGTAAAATGCTAAAGGTTAAGTATTTGATGGTGATGTAATTTGAAAATGATTTGTTGAACACTCAAAACTGTACTCAGTTCAACGTGAAAACAAATTTATTTAATCAAACTACGCAGATCCGATTGCTTGCCTAAGACCGCACGTCACTCACCAGGACAATCGCTTACCCGACTTTATGCCGCTGCCCAATTATTTCATGCATTTCATGCATGGCAAATATGCCATTATTCAACACCGCGTGGCCCCCCTCGACCAACAACACGTCACCGCCACGGCGCCCTCTTCCGCAGCCATCCACCACTGCAAGCCAACGCAAATTTGCACTTTGCTTATGTTGCGCAAAGTGGCGTTTGTTTTTGCTCTTGGTTATTGGTTGGTTGCATACACCGCACTTGCCGCTGCAACAACAGCGCTGTACGCTCATTTTTGCAGCATAATTACCATTTTGTTGGAGCGCATATATTCGCTGCACATGCTTTAAACTCACTTAAATTGTAAGCGACGCGTTTTCATTTTTGTTGGTTTCTCGTTTTTACGACCTGTCAACGTTAAATTTGTTAGTCTTGTTTGCTTTTTATTGTAGCGAAATGTTGTTTACCACAGAGGTGGCGCTAAGGCAGTGAGCAACCAACAAATGGAGGAGAAGGGTGTGGCTGTGAGTTGTGCTTGTAATTATTATGGCAGCTCGAAAACACTCGTCGGCCAGATATGTTAATTCACAGCAAGAGTTACTCATACGCCATGGCACGCGGGCACTATTTGTGTGCTTAATGCGCAGGAATTACACAAATTTGTATGCGTTGACGACAAAGTAAAGCAATTATAGAGTCGGGGAACTTAAATAAACATGCAAAATATGTATTTATGTATTTACGTTCAACTTTTATATTGAATAATTCGCTATTTTGCTGGTAACTAACTAAAATTCGCTTATTTAAACGTTTAATGTTGATGTGAAAATTGTAGTAGTCGAATATAAGCCAATTGAAACACAGCATCTGACCCATTATAGGTGAGATAAGACATTTGAAGCCCATTACCCGGTTTTGTGTCCAAACATAAAATGTATAAAAATGAAACAGCCAAATATTAGCTATGCCCTCGATTCTTAGATTAGACATAAAAGACACCCTTTGCAAGAAATTTAAAATGGTTGGATTTGTAACTATCTTACGTCACTAGCGGTGATTCCGCTTATACCTATACTTTAAGAGCACTTTGCTTTTATGACATGCATCTGAAAATATTTACAACCCTAAGGTCAGTCTTGGCACGTTTGTCGCATTTATACCCAAAATTACCACCGATTCGCCTTTAAACACCTTAACATCGACTTGAAAAGTCTAAGCAACCTCATATTTATCACAACTTTATTGCTTCAAATTGCACACAGTTTACCAGCTCGTATATATCAATCAACAACACGCCACCGCACAGCAGCAGCAGCAGTCGAAAAGCCACAGTAGCCGCTTCAGCACCTAATTTATCAATCGTAGCACAAACCGGCATGCCCATTCACTACACAGAGAACCTACACATACACAATATGTAGCAAAGTTTTCAAGTGTTGCAGCACAACAGTATGCGGGTGACAGCCTATGGGCGTTTCGCTCCAGCTACCTACTGTCTTAATTCCGAACACCTCTAAACATTAGTAGAGTGTCTGTTCAGCGGATTTACCGTCCACACGCACACAATGTCTACAAAAATAACACAAATGCCACATGAAACCATAAAGTCGCAGCAGCGCAGGACGAGTGGTAAATAGGGTGCAAATAAAATCGCTTCGGCACAGAAGGCAGCTGAAGATAAGGAGTCGTGTGACAACCGCTCATACACACACTCACCCGTACAGAAGTGTAAACATGGCAGACGGTTGCTAGTTTGTTGGCATAGTTCTGCCTGAGACATGAATATAAATGCAATTTATCACAAAATTTGTAACGGTAGTAAAGTACCCAACAATGACCATGTAGTTTATACTCCATTATGTTGCTGGAGTGCGGATAAATCCAATTTCATGCCTTGTTTTATGACAGCTCAAGCTTAATTTCGTTTAACGCTGGACAATGTTACATGCTGGAGATGGTGATGTGCAGCAAGCGAGGGCGTACTAAAGGATGGCAATTGCTCGGCAGACATTTATGACTACGATTAATATGCTTATGTAATACCGTTCAATTACTAAAACAAAAACTTGGATATACATGTCATGTAAAATTAACTGCGCAAACAGCTGGAAGCAGTAGCATTTCATTTGCTTTACAACATCACTACGAACTTAAATTTACGAACTAAGTTAATTTTTTCTGCATTGTCTGCAGTCTTTTCTAATTATTTTAGCTCTCGTTGTTGTTGTGTGCTGCTGCTGCTAAAAATGTCTTGCCGGCAAGATGTGGCAACTCCGCGTTGCGACTTTTGCGTTCTTTCGCATACCTAATGGTCGCAAACAGCCAGCGGCCAATTGCCAAACGGAAAAACATCGAAAGAAAACAAAAAAAGACATCATAGTTGAAAAAGTTACGCTGCGCTCGTACGCTTGGGGCACCAGTGCAGCATTGTCAACCACAAATGCAAAGTTGTTGTAGTGACAGAAACCTCATTTTACCAAC